CTCAACCGTTAAGTTGTTTGAACGCACCTAATAAGTGTGTTCAGACAACTCAACAGTTGCACAACGGTTGAGAGATAATCACTTCTGATTGGATCATACTTTTGGAACCGCAGCAGATTTTGAAGAATAGTCCTATCATAAGTGACGATCTCTCAACCGTTGAGTTGTCTGAACGCACCCAAAGACGCGAAGATTGGGTGCGTTCAGACAACTCAACAGTTGTGCAACGGTTGAGAGATAATTACTTCTGATTGGATCATACTTTTGGAACCGCATCCGATTTTGAAGAATAGTCCTGTCATAAGTGATGATCTCTCAACGTTGAGTTGTCTGAACGCACCCATTGCACTTTCCGTTTGATGAACATATTTTGTCCCCACAAAGTTGAATCTCCTTCTATTGGATGTCAAATGTGCGATTTGAAAATGGGAATTGTTGCGTGCAGAATTGCCAACAGCGCAAACTTTTCAACCCTTGCATACATTCGAATTTCGTAATTCTATATATATAGTTCTCGCAAGTGCGAAAAGTCCATTGCGAATCTAATTCGAAATTCTTCATTTGTTTCATCACATTTATTCGACGATTAATTAATTAATCGAGAGAGATGTCTTTTTTGTACAGACAAGAAATCAAATCGCTGCAAGAAGGGACGCAAAACACATTTGTAATCGGCTTGATCACAAGCAGCGCGAATATGAGAACCATCGACTCAGCTCGAATGAGATGTATGTATATTTGTTATAGCCACTCTAGTTTTTTCTTTGATATATATTGAGAAGGAATTTTTATAAACTTAAAACACTTTTGCAAAACACTTTCTTTGACTTTGCGATCTATTTTCTATGCAAAAAAAAATAAAAGTATTTTACTTCCCGGTAAAAAATTTTCCATGTATAAAATTGCATGGACATATTTGGTATATAAATTTGCATAATTAGATACAATTATTTTAACAATTAAAACTGAGATTCACATCTCGGGCTCTGTGAAGTCTTTAACTAATAAATAAATGATAAGTCGTTAAGACCCTTTCGCTGGATGTTATGCGGGAAATATGTGTTATATATATATATATATATATGTGCGTGTGTACACATATAATCAAATTCACGTTTTCCACGTGAGTTTTTTTGAATTGTAATTACAATTCTAATAATCGTATAGGATGCCCAATTTGCATTTCGTATATGAAGAACCCCGAATATTTTTTTTGCAATATTTTAAATTAATTTGGGGAGGTATTCGGGATTCTTCATATACGAGATGCAAATTGAGCATCCTATATGATTATCAGAATTGTAATTACAATTCAAAAAAACTCACGTGGAAAACGTGAATTCGATTATATATGTGTACACACGCACATATATATATATATATAAGACATAATTATTTTAATTTGTGTATATAAGTATATATGAAAAATTTTTTACCGGGTTTCTTCGACTTTGCAATCTATTTTCTATGCAAAAAAAAAAAACAAAAGCATTTTACTTATAGCGTTTTTGACACCGTTACAAAGTTGACTTGCTCTCGGAACGATTAATGACGTCATTATGTAAAATTATATATAATAATATTTAATAATCCATCGCCACCACTGGCTTTCTTGATCACTTTCTTTTGTTTTTAATGACGTCAATTTGGCGTCAAATCGACCAATCGTATTGCTTGATTTCAAGTGACGTCATTAATCATTCCGGCAGCTTCATTCAAAAAACCTCGTACTGGTCAAAAAAATGCCACTGATATTAATTTCATCATTGCGCAGTTAATAAAGGCGAACGTAGCGTGTGGACCTTTACTTTGCGCGATTCCGAAGAGGACTTTGTCAACGTGACGGTATGGGGTAGCACGGAATTCATAAAAAGAGTATCGTCGACGTTCACCATTGGATCTGTAGGCACGTGAATTATTGAAAAATATGTAAAACTAAAATTTTATTTTAAAAAACTAACATATATATACAAGAGCGACTTGATATTACAGTGGAGGTAATAAGCGCGAAGATCGTGAAACGTCAGCCGAACGACAAAAATGATCAGTTTATGCCGGCGACTCCCGTTCCTTTTGTTCTGATCGTGAACGAAGGATCGGCTCTCATACAAAATCACGACGCGCCTACTCGCGAACAGTACAAAAGTTTACTTACGCGACCTTTCAAGGGAACAGCGTCCGCAAAAAGTTTGAAAGCTATTCTAGACAACATCGAGGATTTGTGCGATCATTTCGTTGATCTTCTGGTTGTCGTTACATTCGTGAGTATTGAAACAAGCGAAATTTTTGTTCTATCTTCGAGCACGTATGTATTTCCTATAGATAGCCAAATGTGAAAACTCAATATAAAGCAAATCATTGTATAGATTAAGTTGCTCGCCAATTGCTGTTGTGTTGGTTTTTATTTAACGCAACGAAAATGTTTTTGTCAATTCGGTATCAATATGCTGAGTTTTATTTATCAATCAATTGTTGTAGCGCCAATGTTTAGGACATGTGAGTCAGCAATATGTGAGCAATATATGAGCAATAATTTTTATTCACAAGTTGAGAAAAATAATATAAGTTTATTGCCGATGAGTTGTTGAGAACTTGCTGTTATTATATTATTTTGAAAACTGTTGCTGGCAAGAACATACCGAAAAGAGGATACACCCTTTTGTTACATTGCTGAAAACATATGAGTAATATTTGTGGCAAGTTGCCAACAACTTGCATTCAGTTGACCATCTGGGTTTATTACAGGTTGCGGACGCGCGTAACGTAATGACTCGAGACGGACGAGCTTTGACGCATCGTAGTTTTGAAATAACAGATGGATCGATAGATAATACAGTGTCATTGAATCTGTGGGAAAAGGATTGGGTCGATAGAGCCGCGTTTTGGGAACCAAAGCAAACAGTGCTATTCTTAATCGATGTTTGCGTTCTTTATGACAAATATAAAAATAGAAACGCGTTAAGTATTAGTAAGAGTCTTAAAAAACTTAATTTTCACAATCTATACGAAAAGTCAAAGTAAAATAACAGAAACAAATTCTTATCGTTATCGTTATACCTAGCAAAACGAACGATGATCACGGAATGTCCGAACATACCGCAAGCTGCGAACATTAGAAGTGCGGCGCAACATTACGAACCCGATTCCATATCCAGCGATCAGTTTGTAGTACCAAATCGTGAGAATATATATATATATATACAGGGTGTCCCAGAATTGCCGTACAATCTCTCGTAGGCAGGTAGAAGAAGTAAAACTGAGTCGAAAAGTCCTGAACCATTTTTTTCTATTATTTATAATAAAGAAGTAAATTATTGAGTAAATCAGGCCAATCAGCGCCGACCTTTAGCCAGGCGCACGTCAGTGAACTGCGCGGAGTGCTCACACACACCAGGTGCGTGGCTCACTGACGTGCGACTGGCTAAAGATCGGCGCTGATTGGCCTGATTTACTCAATAATTTACTCCTTTATTATAAATAATAGAAAAAAATGGTTCAGGACTTTTCGACTCAGTTTTATTCCTTCTACCTGCCTACGAGAGATTGTACGGCAATTCTGGGACACCCTGTATATTTTACAGAGAAGAGAGAAATTTATTACTGTGTGGTTATGACCAAACTAATATTTAGTTTTTAATATTGAAAATCAATATTGAATATAGTGCTTTTATTACTCAAAATATAAATATTATTTTGTGGCCACATTAGAGTAATAGATTTCTATAAGAAATTTATAAAAATATAAATTTTTGAAGATAAATTTTTTTTAAATAGTTTAATTTTTTGTCAATAATAGCGGACACTATTACCACTGTAATGACAGTGCAACAGATCACAGAAAAGTTACAGAAAAAAGTGGCCACGGAAGGTGAAAGAATGCAATTTGCGACGATTGTGAGAGCTTCAATAACTGAAATGAATGTGGATGCTTTACTCAAGAATATAATATCCATAAAGTGGTGTGCACACAGTTTTCCTCCTTTTCAGTTTTTTTTTTTTTTTTTTTGTTGCATTTATCAATCTGGGACGATAAAAAACAAAAATTAATTTGTATAATTATTATCACACACTTACTCTTTGGGTTTTCAGCGCTCTGTGTAAAAGAAATGTCGCGAACGTGCAAGATTCTTGCATGAACTTGAACTGCCCGTCGGGTAACGGAACCAGATCACCGTTGAATACAATGAAATTAAATATAAAAATCAATTTGAAGGATGATACCGGATACCTAATCGGATGTCGTTTGACCGGAGATGTCGCGGAGCGAGTTTTGGGCTGCACAGTCGATGAATTTCAGACAATGACCGCGGAAAGACGCAGCGAATTGAAATGGATTTACTTGTTGGAAAAGTGTGATGTGCGCTTACACGTTATCGGGCCGACGTCCGCTTTTCCGCGCACTTTGTACAATATTTTATCTATCCAGCATTGCTTGGAGGAAGAAACAAAAGTGGACATGTAAACAGTCTTTGATAATTAACACTTTTAGAATTTTAATTTTATTCAAAATTAATATTTTGTTTAAATTCTTTGACTTGAGTGATAAAATAAATTTTGTTATTATATTAGGTTAGGTTACAAAAACGTTGTTTAACAAACTTTCGTAAAAACAAGTATGTACACATATAATCCATCTATCTATGTATCACACAGATAATATAAATTAACTATAGAATTACTTGTGTAAAAAGAGAAAAATAAAAATGTGTTTTAAAAAACGATAATTTTATTTAAAAGATAATTTTATCTTAAAAAAGATGATTTTATCTTAAACAAGATAATTATATCTTTTAAAACATAATTTTATCTTTTAAAAGATAATTTTGTTTTAAAATTATTTTAAAAATTAAATTTTAAAATTAAAATTATCTTTTAAACGATAAAATTATCTTGTTTAAGATACAATTATCTTGTAAAAGATAAAATTATGTTTTAAAAGATAAAATTATTTTTTAAAAGATAAAATTATGTTTTTTAAAAGATATAATTATCTTGTTTAAGATAAAATCATCTTTCTTAACATAAAATTATTTCATTTAAGATAAAATCATCGTATTGAAGAGAAAATTACCTCATTTAGATAACGTTATTTTTTGTAAGATAAAGTTATCTTAGGTGCAGAAAATTTTTCTTAAGGCCGAAGGACAGACTTTTGCATAACGCATTAAGCCTATGTCACACTACGGATTTGGATTGAAATTGGATTGCAATTTGGGTCAATCAGAGCGAAGATCAGTAAACTTAGGATTGGTTTTCTTTCTTCTGATTGGTCAAATTTCAATCCAATCTCAATCCCAATCCGTAGTGTGACATAGGCTTTACGCATAAAGGCCATCACACATAAAATTACTTAAAGGGCTTTCTACAATAAGATATCAGTAACAAATCAGAAGTCAGAAGCAAGAAATTGACCAATCACACTCGATTATTCTTCTGTGATTTGACTGCGATTGGTCAATTTCTTACTTCTGACTTCTGATTTATTACCAATATTTCATTGTGGAAGGTTCTTTACTGTTACAGAGATTCATGTGCGATAGCCTTTATCAGCTAGCCGGCAAAATGTCAGTTTACTTTTGAGAGGCTAAACAGATAAAAATCTGAAAAAAAAAAAACGAAAAAAAGTTGTTGATTCGATTTGCAATAACGCTTTGGATACGCTCTATTTATATTTATATTAATTAAAAAGTTGGAGCGTAATCATTTATGAGTTCCCTTACATTATTGTTGCGCGGAACAAAATGAAACAGTTGTATGCGCGCGTTTGTTGTACAACATTGTAGTTTGTACGTGTTTGAAAAAAAATGGAAGAATTACGTACCCCGCAAAGAATAGTGGATATATCAGAGCCGATTTTGGTGGAAGACAGTACGTACTTTAAATCGTCGTTGTCGCTAATCGCGGTTATAGAACAATTGAATAAAAACGCCACGCATCACGACTATTTTGTCGCGTTGTTGCTTGTTCTGTTAGCCGAGTCCGGATTCCAAATATTCTCATCCGACAATCCGACATGGTAATATAATTACATTTATTTCTTTTTATAAAAAATGTTATATACAAAATATTTTTGATTGCTCGCGTATTTAAATTTTTACCCTAATTTAACATAGTCTGATATGTGTCTGGATTTTACATAGGGTTAGGTTAGGGTTAGGTAACAATTCTTAAATAATAACCCAGCAAACAATTTCTGACTGCGCAGACCTGGCAACTGTGTGCAGAAACGCTACAATACGGAAACATGCTTTGTGTGCTTCCAAAGCTGTTAACACACAGACACAAAAAACGCAACATGGTCACCAAAACTCAGCAAAACCATATCCTACTGAGGACACAGATGGATATGAATTTGATGTGGTAGTTGGCGACAAAATCGCGACATCTGACTACCAAATTGTTTGCTGGGAATGAATTTTGGCTATTGAAGCAGTAACACTGTTGTTGGAGTGTATATATTAAAATCCGTTTATTAACAATTAATAGTATAATAGCATGAACGCTTTCGACCCTTGTATTAGGTCCTTTTCAAATGCATTTAAATTTCTTGGATAGGAAACGTCGCTCAATGTTGATCAAGGATATCCGCACCAGCCATCTCGACCAACACTTAACAAAGGTGAAAAAAGGCGACGTTTTCTATCTAAGAAATTTAGATGCACTTGAAAAGGACCTAATACAAGGGTCGAAAGCGTTCATGCTATTATACTATTAATTGTTAATAAACGGATTTTAATATATATACACTCCAACAACAGTGTTACCGCTTCAATAGCCAAAATTCATTATTATTTAAAAATTCTTGAAGCTCCATATATAATCATCTTTACATAGTAACAATTCTTAATGCAAATGATTTTTACTTTACAGGGAGAGAAATTCAAGGTTGGTGTGTATACCAAAAAAATATTGGAAATCATCAATAACACATGTATACGAGATTCACTTAGTAATTAACAAATTAGCGAGCACTCAATGTAAATTATTGGTAATACCTTATGGCGATAAAATGGTAATCAGTATGTTTTCAATGACAAGAAAGAATATAATTTATTCTATAGTCGAACATTGTTTCAAATATTTTAATCCACATTCCAGTAACAAGTTAGAATCATATATGAATCTCAAAGAGATATCACGAAGGTATATATAAAAAAAAAACTGCATTTTTATTTATTATATATATGTATCTATAGAAGTTGCGTCTAAAAGAATTTTTAAAATTTTTCTAAATCACAAAAACCTTAATTTGTTAGATTTAAGGATTATGTGGCTACACCTTTGCGTACAGATGTATTGTTAGATCTGGGATTAACCAATCCTAGTTACATGGGACTGCCGCTAGAGCTAAAAATGAAAATTCAAGATATGACAAAATGATTTAAGAAACTACATCAGGGAAACTCATCTTTTGGTGATATTTGTTTTATATTCAGTTTTGAGTTTTCAATAATATATATATATATATATATATGACAAATATGCAATATAATGTCTCTACCTCTGTATTATTTTTAAATTTTATTTTTTTCTGTGCTACTCTATAAAATATTTAAAAAAATTTTTTTTTAATTCAATCTAATTCTAAATTTTTTTTATTTTCAAAGAGAAGTAGAAAGATAGGAGTGTTGTTTTGCATATTTGACCCATTTTGTTTTTTATGATATTGTAAATAGCGTAAGTATTAAGTATATAAATTTATTTACAAACACACATAATATTAGTTATTTTTAATGTTGTTAAATATTTTTGGTAGAATATATAACAATATTAGATATATAACGTTGATAGATGTGTGAATAAAATAACATTTGCAAAGCAAACATATTGACTGACAGATGTTAGCTTCAATAAAGAAAGAAAATAATTAAAAACGTAAAGTTTTATTTTTTTAAACTTTCCACTTGTGTATTGCAACTAATAAATAGTTTTCAGTTATTTCTTTTTTTGTGAGACCTTTTATGGTTCAACAATCTAATTAATGGTAGGCTAATTGTAGGCTTGTGCTACAAGTGCTTTTATTTTATCTTTATATTTTTAAGGAATAAAGATAAAGTATTTTAAAAACATAAAAGATAAAAATACCGTTTTTAAGATAAAATCATCTTTTTAAGATAAAATCATCTTTTAAAAGATACAATTATCTTTTAAAAGATAATGTTATCTTTTTTAAAATAAAATTATTTTTTTTTTTAAATACTAATAATCTTATTGTAGAAGGCCCTTAAGGCCGGCATTCATAATCGAATCTTAGACCTGGTTTATGCGGGTCTAAGATTTTAATATTTTTGTTTATTAACAGAAGCATTGAAATCCTATAGTTGAACTGTACCAATTCCGGCATAAATTAACAGTTATTACCCATAATATTATTACGCATAAACAAGGCCAAAACAAGGCCTTATTTGCCCGCATAAACCAGGCCTTATATTTAGGATCGTCTTAAGGGTCTTCTACAATGAGATATTAGTAAAGCCTGTTCTACATTGATCGCAAGCGCAAACGCAAGGAACAGGTCTGATAGAATTGACTAATCGTATTGATCAAATCAGCCAATTGACCAGCGTGATTGGTCAATTCTACGAGATCTATACCTTGCGTTTGCGCTTGCGATTAATGTAGAACGGGCTTAAAAGGAAAGCAGCCATAGGGTGCGTTCAGACAACTCAACAGTTGCACAACGGTTGAGAGATAATCACTTCTGATTGGATCATACTTTTGGAACCGAATCAGATTTTGAAGAATAGTCCTATCATAAGTGATGATCTCTCAACCGTTGAGTTGTCTGAACGTACCCAAAGACGCGAAAATTGGGTGCGTTCAGACAACTCAACGGTTGCACAACGGTTGAGAGATAATCACTTCTGATTGGATCATACTTTTGGAACNCCAAAGACGCGAAAATTGGGTGCGTTCAGACAACTCAACGGTTGCACAACGGTTGAGAGATAATCACTTCTGATTGGATCATACTTTTGGAACCGCATCAGATTTTGAAGAATAGTCCTATCATAAGTGATGATCTCTCAACCGTTGAGTTGTTTGAACGCACCTAATAAGTGTGTTCAGACAACTCAACGGTTGCACAACGGTTGAGAGATAATCACTTCTGATTGGATCATACTTTTGGAACCGATTCAGATTTTGAAGAATAGTCCTATCATAAGTGATTATCTCTCAACCGTTGAGTTGTCTGAGCACACCCATAGTTCAGTGTTCATATGCCACATGCTAGGCTAGGAATAAGCTAGACTAGGATAGGTTAGGTTATACGATTCTATAGCGACAGCAGTATTTCTCGCGCATGTTTAAACATTTCTTACATCTCTGAGCCACAACTGCGCCAAACCAAACCGAACATTTTCTTACATCGGACATATACCTATTTATATATATATATAATTAGAATATTATTGAGAGAAGAGATAATTAAAAAGATTTTGTATCATGATAAATATTATTTCAACGGAAGAGAAGAAGAAAGTTTTTTACTTCTTAAAGTCTCAAGGATGTTGTTCGAGATGTTGTTTACGTCTTATTGGATATCGTGTGTCAGAATGTTATCGTAAGCCTTTTGAATTTGCGACACAAGTAAGTGTGGTGTTAATTGAGAAAACATTACATTATATCAAGTAATGATAATATATAATTTTGTTATCATATTATGATAATATATTAATAAATTTTGATATATTACAGGAAGGTTTTATTGTACGAAATGATATCTTTTCGGAAAAAACACCTTGTATTATATGTTTAGGAATCCTTCAGGATATAATACAAGAGAATCTAGTTACAAAAGTATGTAAATATCAACAATGTGTGTATAGGGTGTATATGTCTTTGACAAATGTTTTTTGTTTTTAATTTTAATATCTAATATATTATGATTTTATGTGTGTAGATAGTTGAGGAAGTGAAACTAAAAAATTATGACAGCGCAACGTTTGCATGCGCATTGACTATTCCTGTATCGGTAAAACCCAGAGAACACATATTGTACGCTTACATATCCAGAGAAACTGGTATTCCTGAATCTATTATAAGTGTCCTTAAAACAATGCTGCACAGTGTTAAAGATGTTTGGAAGTCATTTATGATTCCAAAGCTTGAAGAAGCTCTGGGAAAAGCATCTCCTGGAGACGCATCGGTGCCATCGCCTTTTCTTATCGAGGTGTCTCTGACATATACCGAAGATGAAGCAATATTTAAAGAACTGTAGGCATTTTTCAAAGATTTATATAAATTTTATAGAAAACAAGGTGGCCATATATAGCCATTGATATTAGAAGGAACATTTATAGACGAACTGTGTCTCTACTGACAAAGTATTAACTAAAAAATGTTTAAAAAAGGCCGATACGAGCCATTCGCAGGATGTTTGTGCGGAAACTGTGCGTGTACATATATATACATGTAACGAATTCTACTTGTAAATTTTTACAAGTATTTTTTGAATTGAAATCTCAATTCTTAAAATCATACGGGATGCTGGATTTGCATCTCACATATGAAAAACCCCGGATACCCCCCTAATTTTAAAATATTGCGAAAAAAACTCCTCGGCCAGGAGTCGAACCTGGAATCTCATTTCAATTCAAAAAATACTTGTAAAAAATTTACAAGTAGATTTCGTTACATGTATATATATATACAGGGTGTCCCAGAATTGCCGTACAATCTCTCGTAGGCAGGTAGAAGGAGTCGAAAAGTCCTGAACCACTTTTTTCTATTATTTATAATAAAGGAGTAATTATTGAGTAAATCAGGCCAATCAGCGCAGATCTTTAGCCAGGCTCACGTAAGTGAGCCGCGCGCCTGGTGTGTGTGAGTGCTCAGTTTTTCGACTCAGTTTTACTCCTTCTACCTGCCTACGAGAGATTGTACGGCAATTCTGGGACACCCTGTATATATGTACACGCATAGTTTCCGCACAAACATCCTGCGAATGGCTCGTATCGGCCTTATTTATTTCCTGTTGACAATTTCACGAGCGTTAAGTCTTTTAAAAAATGTTTGTTTCTCTTCACCTTCAGAATAAACATCACTCATCAGAAGGACAATAAGACGCAGAGCAAAAGAAAACATAAAAATAAATTTAGTCGAAAAAATATGGAAACTGTGCTGAGCGAGATAACAAATGCGCAACTTGTGCAATATTTTACAATTCCGCAAATTGTGCCAAAATCGTTTGTCCAATTGAATGTTTCGTGTTCTCACACCAGTATTTTCATAGGAGGTACATTTGACACAACTTACGCCCTGCCCCAAAAAATAAATCTAAATTTGCAATAATTTTTACGATATACAGCGCGAGATCTCTTACGTAATTTTAGATTTTCAGGACGTTACAACAAACTCTCGAGAGAACTCAGTCAGACTCCGTGGCTAATTAACGGCGAGAAGAAGGTTGAATTTTCCGTTCAAGATTTATTATGCAATCCTATCGCGGAAGCGGTAAAAGCAGAATGTATGTGTTTGAATGAATGTGTGTTTCTTTATATAAATGCAAATTATTATATGCGCTATCTTTTCACAGATAATTTTTTGTTTTTGTCACAGCGATAAAATTTTTATCGTCAGGAAGAGAAGACGTTGATGTTAGAAATGTGTACAATGGCCGACCGTTCGCGGTCGAGTTGTTGAATCCTCACATGACAAATATCACGGACGAGCTCTTGATGCATCTGGCTACTAGCATCAATCAGTCAACCAAGCAAGTTCAAATAACATCCGGCTTAAAAGTTCTCTCTAGGTAAAATTTTCAATGTTTTACTTGTGTAAAATTTTTTCTTAAATTTTTTAAACTTAGGGCTATTCTACAACGAGTTGAAAATGTCCCGTCGCCAATTGCAACTACTAGGGAAAAAGTATTATTTTACGTGCTGCGGTTGTCAGTTGCCGTTGACAAAAAGTTAAAAGCTGACCAACTCTCTTTTAGCAACCGCAAAAACGACAAAGCGCAACCAGAAATAATAATTTTCTTTTCGCAATTGCTGCTTTTCGCAACTGGCAACAGGACATTTTCAACTCGTTGTAGAATGACCCTTAACACGTTCACGCCGGGGCGAAAATCTACGTTTTTTCGCGTGAGGCGGGACTGTCTTATCTCCTTACGCTTCGTGGGGCGGGGCAACACCGTTCCGTGGGGCGAGTCCAGTGTTGCCCCGCCCCACCGGTGGGTCACGCCGCCCCACGGAACAGTCGGGTGTGACCCACCGGTGGGTCGCGCCGGCGTGAACGTGTTAAAGTTGCACAAAACAAATATGTGTATAAATTTCTAGGTTTGATTTAAAAAGACTCAAGGAAGGTGAGAACGTTAAAACAAAGTTTTATCGAGCATTGTGCGTCTGTAGGAACGCAAACGCTGATTCGCTACAACTGGAATTATTGAATGAGTTAAAAAATATCAAAATTGTTCAGAGAACGCCAGTGAGAGTATTACACAGACGGCCGTTGAGTCCGCGAATGCGTGTTATCTACGAGATGCGCGCTCGCTGGGCGAAAGACCACGAATTGAGCGCGTTGTTGCGAACCGCCGCTGAAAGCGCAGATATGTTTTTTGTTCTCGATGTCAAAACGCAAGCTGGTACGTACGTAAAGGAATTCGTGCACGGCGATTTCGGCAGGACCCAACCTAGTCTGTGCGATCTTCTCAACACCGAAGTCGATATCGTGGCCTTGGATGTCACAAGCATTAATTTAAACTGGCCATAACGCGAATATAAATAATATTTTCAATATTATTATGTATTCAGATACAAATTTATACAATAAAATTGTCATCATCGAGATACGTTGTGTTATAAAAATTGTTATTGAATAATAAGTCTTTGTCAGGTTTTGGGCTTACGACTTGGGCGAATCTTTGTGTTCCACGATCCAAAAATGTCTCTTGACCGCAGCCATGGAAATCCGTTCTGTACTTTTCTTTTTGATAAGCTGTAAGGATAAATATAGAAGATACAATTAATTTATTAATTTTACTAAATACATATTCAAATAAAAGTAGCAGATACAAATGTCACCTTGGATATGAGGTCTTTGGCTCCAGGTTTTATTTGCTCTGGCCATTTTATACTCATGGTTTTTATCTTTGCGTATGTTTCTTGGGTGGTGTTGCTCAAGAAGGGAGGTTGGCCCGTGAGAAACTCGTAACACAAAATTCCCAAACACCAATGGTCAACATAAATATCATATTTTTCTCCCATCACCATTTCCGGTGGCAGATAATCCAATGTTCCACATAATGTTCTCCGTCTGAAAAACAATTTGTACGACTGCAATAAATAAACACAGAAAAAAGAAAAATAAATTTTTCCAAAGCTATAATTGTTACACGAATATCATTATTGTTGTCAAAATAGAAGTACAGTTTGAATCATACTTGGAGGATGGCGCGTGTACCGACCATCCAAAGTCTGCGAGCTTGATATCTCCGTTATACGTGAGTAACAAATTTTCAGGCTTTATGTCTCGATGAATAACGTTATTTCTGTGACAATATTCCAAAGCGTCAGCCACTTGATAAGTATATTTGGCTGATCTAAAAAAAGTTTTTTATTTTTTGAAATATTTGTTTTTTTTTGCACAATCACAGTGAAATGAAGAAATTTTAAAATTATAAAGCACACATACAAGTGTTCGTTAAATCTCTCATTCGGCTGACGTTTCAATTCTTTGTACAATTCACCTCTTGCAGCAAATTCCAACACCAGATAGATTCTCTTGTCGTCGTGGAAGTATGTCAACATTTGGAGAATATGAGGATGTCTGTAAACATATACGCAGATAAATACCAAATCCAAAAAAAAAAAAAACATGCATATTTTAAAAGAGAAACTGTTTTCAATGTGACTATGTGATACCTCAAATGCGTCTGTATTTCAATTTCTCTCATTACTTGCTTCTCCACACGTCCTTTTATTAATTCAACTTTGTACAATGTTTTCAAAGCAACCATGTAGTGAGTAGTTTTCTCTCTGGCTAGATATACACGACCAAACTTTCCTCTTCCCAGAGGCGATCCTATTTCAAAATCGTCTAAACTCCACTGATATCTATTATCGCAATAAACAATAAATCTCTACATAAGATAGAAAAAAATTTTTCTCTTAAAAATTATATATATCTTAAATGTTTTGTCTTGAGAACTTTTTGAAGATAATTGCGCATACCTTTCTCCTTTACTGATATTGCTAATAATATGTTCCTTCATTTTATATATAGTTTCTTGGAGAGCTTCTTTATGATCGGAAGCAACTGATGGCAATTTAAATAACTGTCCACTAGCCATATTGTGATGATACTTTACTTTAGCAAATCCCGCGCATTTCGCGTATTTTATGGCAGGCATTTACTGGTAACTGTCATTCGCTTCGCTTGTTTTGAACGTTTAAATTTTAACGTACAACGACATCTTCAGGGTCGCAGGAGTACGAATATTTGCTATGACCAGAGAGAAACCTGAGAGCGGCCATCCTAATGTAATTTTTTCCGACGGTTTCAGCCGCTGGTTTTAGCCGTATTTCCACAAAAGTGGAACTCAAAGGCCGTTCTACATTAAACGCAAGTCGCAGATCTCGTGGAATTGACCAATTGCAGAGTCAAATCAGCCAATCGACCAACGTGATTGATCAGTTCCACGAGATCTGCGACTTGCGTTTAATGTAGAACGGTTTTTGAGTTCCACTTTTGTGGAAATACGGCTAAAACCAGCGGCTGAAACCGTCGTAAAAAATTACAATAGGATGGCCGCTCTCAGGTTTCTCTCTGGTGCTAGCAGCAATTCTTGAACACAGCTTTGAGAAGAGAATGGGTGCGTTCAGACAACTCAACGATTGAGAGATCATCACTTATGATAGGACTATTCTTCAAAATCTGATGCGGTTCCAAAAGTATGATCCAATCAAAAGTGATTATCTCTCAACCGTTGTGTAACTGTCGAGTTGTCTGAACGCACCCAATTTTCGCGTCTTTGGGTGCGTTCAGACAACTCAACGGTTGAGAGATTATCACTTATGATAGGACTATTCTTCAAAATCTGATTCGGTTCCAAAAGTATGATCCAATCAGAAGTGATTATTTCTCAACCGTTGCGCAACTGTCGAGTTGTCTGAACGCACCCAATCCCGCACGCAAAACTAAGCTGCGTTCCGTTTCATGCATATGTGCGCATTTATCTATACTATACGTGACGTATATTATAGATACATGCGCGCATATGCGTGAAACGAAACGCAGCTCTACTTGCCCGCTTTTCTTCTTCTATCTAGTAAAATTGGGTGCGTTCAAACAACTCAACAGTTGCACAACGGTTGAGAGATAATCACTTCTGATTGGATCATACTTTTGGAACCTCAGCAAATTTTGAAGAATAGTCCTATCATAAGTGATGATCTCTCAACCGTTGAGTTGTCTGAACGCACCCAATGTAGAACGGGCTTAATATGGAACGCGCCTTGCCATTGGGTGCGTTCAGACAACTCAACGGTTGAGAGATCATTACTTATGATTGGACTATTCTTCAAAATCTGCTGAGGTTCCAAAAGTATGATCCAATCTAGTTGACCAATCACAGACAAAGTACAGAAGAATAATCGATTATGATTTGTCAGTTTCTTACTGTTACAATCTAAAACTCTCCATTGTAGACGGCTCTTAACGCATTGATGGCGCGAAGTCGCAAATAGCAGCGAATGGATGAATCCGGTCGAACGAAGAGGAACGAAGTTGACGCGGAATGCGATTGATCCGAAATGAATTGAAGCGAAAAGTGAAATTTTCACGATCTCAAGAACAATTTGGACGAGTAATGTTTCTCAAGAGACAAATATTTTTTTCCAAAATGATGAAACACGCGCGCACGGGAAGCAAAGAACTTCTCGATCACACGCTAGTTACGAAGCGCGTCTTAACCTAATCTCACCTAACCTATCTTACTACGCTGCAGTTCTCCAAAAGAATCTCAGGTCAGTTTAATACTTTCTTCAATGCGTAGCGCAAACGCGCGATAATAATATCTTGTTGAAACATTTCTATACGGTTGTTCTCCGGGTCTTTTCGATCAATTTGTTTATTCCGATCTAATTTTTTTCTCGAGAAATACGTGTTTAAAGTGATTTGAAGTTGAACCAACTATGTGTGTTGCACAAGACAACAATGTGTAAATGTGTAATTTTGTACACGTACACTTGTAAAATTAGGGTACCGTTAAGTATGCAAGATTTACTTGATGTCTCTTTTGTGCGTGTTATATATATATATATACTGTTACAGTTTACAACATAGCATACAATAGATATACAATGTACTGAGATTGTGGTTAATTTTGATTCCTTTTTATTATTGATAAAAAATATTTAAAAAGTTTCAAAACAGCAGTAGTTTTGTATATGTAAAAATTTAAATTAAATTTATATTGACAAAAGTAAGATTATTGCGCTGCAACGTTGTGTTTGTTGACTGTTTTATTTTATCCTTCATTTTATCCTTGAAAAAAAATTAAAATAAAATAAAAACTTGTGAAATATGTTTTACTTTTTAGGTTTGCGTATGCAAAAAAAAAAAAACATGATGTCTAACGGCATTCAAAATTCAACCGAAGAAGTTGAAGATAGCTCTGTGGCGAATAATGTGAATAACATACATCACTCGACCTCAGCATCATCATCATCATCATCATCAGCTTCGTATATGAAGCTATCTTCTTACATCCTAGCTGTTCGGCCGTGGTCTTTAAATGCTTCGTTGATGCCAACGTTACTTGGATCGGTTCTGGCATATAAATCAGGCCTAACAAGCTTCAGTTGGATGTCACTAGTTCTCACTGTATTTATAGTACTCTGTGTACACGGTGCTGGCAATGTGGTGAACACTTACTTTGACTATAAAAAGGGTGTTGACAGTCGGAAGAGTGACGACAGAATACTGGTTGATCATTTGTTATCCAAGGACGAATTGGTCTCCTTGGGAGCTTTTTTATATATGGTAGGCACCGCTGGATTCGTTCTACTGGCGTGGCTGTCTCCCGCGAAAATGGAACATCTAGCTTTTTTATATTTCGGAGGTTTGTCCTCTTCTTTTCTATACACGGGCGGTATAGGATTGAAATATATCGCTCTAGGCGACGTACTTATCTTAGTTATATTCGGTCCGATCTCAGTTCTGTTCGCGTTCATGGCGCAAACCGGATACATTGAGTTGGGAACGATTTATTACGCAATACCTCTAGCGCTAAACACCGAAGCTATTTTACATAGCAACAACACAAGGGATATGGAAAGCGACAAGAAAGCGGGAATCGTGACGCTTGCAATTTTGATGGGCCACACCGTGTCTCATGTTTTGTATGCTTTTTTACTATTTACACCTTATATTATCCTCGTTGTACTGGCATTTAGGTATTGCATATGGTTTTTACTGCCGGTTATTACATTGCCAACTGCCTTCAAGATAGAAAAAGAATTTCGAAATCCCAATAGAATTCAAAATGTGCCTCAGCGAACAGCCAGATTAAATACGTGTTTAGGTATGTTGTACGTTGCCGCTTGCCTGTTCGCGTACAAAGGCTCGCTCCCTTATCTCTAAATTTAATTTATTTATATAAAGAAATTTTTTTATATTAATTCTGACTTACTCCTCGGTCAGTCGTTACGAGATGTTTTTTCTAATCCCATCTAGCAATTGAAGATACAAAATTTATGTTTTGAGAAACTTGACAAAGTGAATAAATTTAACAACGTTTTTTTGCAACGTTTGTTTTATTCTTAAGATCTAAGGTTTAAAGACCCGGCGCCGCAATATTACGGCAACACAAGTTGAGAAACTAAATTGTGTATCATTGTCGTCGAATCAAGAAAAAAAGCGTAAACATGTTGTTTTGTTATTTATCTTTTGTTCGATCTAAACGCAGGTACAGTCGAGACCGATCACTTAGCATATGGATCATGTATGCGTTTTGTTATAGAAAGTGTTAAAAGAATGTGTTAAAAGAAAAAGTTTCTCTCTCGTGTATAAAAATTGATTTGATCAATTTTAAAGTTTTAGCTTTACTTCTACTTTGATTTATTTTGATATATATATATATATATCATTGATTAATTTTCTTATTTGCCACAAATTTTTGTTCTTTTTATTGTTGTAGCGTATTAGAGGGAACTTATCTCAAAATACATTTAGTACATTTGTATACTTTCTCTCTGTTTTTGTTATTTAATAATAGTATCTTAGTTTTTAATTGTGACGCTATTTAATTCATAATTCATTTTCTGATTCATTAATTATAAATCATTTTTTTTTTTTGTTGAAAAGGAGTAATTTGGAATTGATAATTGAATCCGAGTGATGTGTATATGCTGTTGTTGATTGATTGATAACTTTTATTTCTCTCTTCTACCAGGGGTAAACAGTACAGTTATTGGCCTCCCAACAGAGTAATTGGCCATGTAGTAAAGAAGTAACCACAGCAAACACAGATATATAACAGCAACATTGTCGTGATAAAACAAATGTAACATGGTCGTTGCGTGTAACATCCATGTTAGTTGTAATTTCCTACTTATCGTGTACTGCAGTTATGTAATATGAATATAACATGTAAGTAGAATGTAATATAATTGTTATATGGTTACAGAAATGTTATATAAAAAGTTATAATGTCATTGCCAGCTAATAACAAGCGATATAATAGATATGTAACAATTATATTACATTTATAAAACAAAGTTACATAACATTGATGTTAATGGAGTGTAACAGCTGTTATGTTACGTATATCACGCTGTTACTTCTATGTTATATAGCAGTTATATTCTGTGTTTGCTGGGAATAAATTTATAAATAAATATACTATCATTGTATATTCTAAATTATAAACATTTTAATTGTTAATTAAGTTTTTCTGCTCCGAATAAAAGTAATGTTATAGTATTTGAGAAGCTCAAAAACTTTTATTGTTACACGACAAACACATTGGCCAACAACTGGCCAATCACTGTTCTTAAGGTTATAAAAACCATATGACAGTCATTGGCCTCTTATTTTGAGTTTATTAGATTACAAATGTAAGTAGGTTTGTGTAGTTTTTAATGTGTTATAAATAAAATATTCATCACTTATATCTTCATAAGTCAAAAGAAAAAAACTTTTATTATGATAAATGTTATGTAAACAGATACCAACAGAAGAACTCATATGGCCAATAACTGTCTATTTTGACTATATAGGAAATATTTTATCAGATTTTGAATAATTTTTCAAATTTTCCAATAAATTTATTAGTTTACTTGCAATTGTTGTAGTTTGTTTGAGCTAGTAGTGTACTGAAGATTTACTTCAAAAGTTATTAAATTATAGTTAGTAAATTATAAAATTAAATTTAATATAATTTACTCTATATATAGTGCAGTTTTCTTTAAGTGGAGCCAATCACTGTGTATCTCTTACCCCTATAGTGTATAATAATTATTTTAATCCTTTAGCACAAGGAGAAAGAAAGATAAAAATTTCATTTGTTGGAAGATCATAATTTATGATATTTTTGGCGTGTTACTTTTTTTTGTATTTCCACACAAAATTTGTGCGGAAGAAGATACAACTTTAACAATAAAAAAAGAAAAACTAAAAAAAAAAAAAAGATAGTCGCTCGCTTATATTTCTTTCTTCTTGTTTTTCTATAATACATTTTGTCGCGAGCACAATAATATATATATATATGCGTAAAATTGAGACAGAAGTTTAACAAATCGATGTCGAGCGTTGTTGTAAAACTTAAAGCTGTTGATAACAATTGTGTATGTTTTATACTAACTTAGCATTACATTTTTCTTAAATAACACACGATTATGTATAACGTAATTATAAAATTTCTTAAATTAAAACTTTTATATTTTTGTGAAAAAAAAAAAAAAAAAAAAACTATATATCGATATAATGCATATCTTTTCATAGCTATATCTGCTATCAAAGATTTATATAAACTTCGTGTTTGTTTGAACACTAATAAGAGGCTCTAAACGAATGTGTAATATAATTTAATTTCCAAAATAAGAATTCAAACGTAAGAAATAAAATATAGAAATAAAAAATCAAAAATACAGCGAAACCAAATAAAGAGATGCAGTTTACTTTTATCCCGATGCATTTATCCCAAAGTAAGAGCGATCACGATAGAAAAAACAAATATAGGGTAAAAGACCCAATTACTGTCACCTGAATAATAAACTCTGGCGTTAGTGTGAATTGTTTTTACTACTTATTTATCAAAAACATGTGTTTTTCTTCTTATCTGGTATTATTCGATGTCTCTAATATAAGGAACAAAATAATACCGTCTCTCAAAATCTCTCTGTTTTTATTTTTAAATTTAATAATTAAAAAAGAACGATGCGAAAGCTATTACTGTCACCCCCTAAAATGAAAGAAATGAGACGCGAATGTTGAGCGCTGGATTTTTTGTTACATTAATTGCACTTGAAATTCTATGTTAGATTGTTTTCATCAGGGACTTATTACCGGTATATTATACTAGAGATTGTATACCGTTACCGTTATAGTAACCGAAAACCGATATGTACCGAAAACCGTAATAAAATACCGGTATTATTTCGGTATTCCTACTAATGGTATTCTTAAAAATTAGATAAGTTAATTAAAGCAATTTTTGTTGCATAATTAATCTTCCTACCGCTTATTGGACTTATAGACCGACAAAATATAAAGACGCTTTTTTTTTTATAAACCAATTGAAGCAGCTGTTTATTCGTGCTTTCTTTTATTACGTAGCATTTACTAATGTAAAGTGAAATTTTTAACAAATTTGGATATTGATAAATATGTCTATGTGTATTTTGTTACCGTTCTTAATTATATTAATTATTGTTACTGTTCTTAATTATATAAAAAAAATAATAATAATTTAAATAATATTAAGTTTCTGTGCGGCAGTTTTTTATAAACATTATATTATTATAAAGTGTTATCAACATACTTTTAAAAAATCACGAAAAAATTATCGGTAAAATACCGGTATTTTGCATACCGGTATAAGTCCCTGGTTTTCATGCATAACTTGTTTTAGGATTTATTTAATATTTTAAATAAAATAGTTTAGGGTGACAGTAATTGGGTCTTTTACCCTATAAAAGAAATATAAATAATATCTCAAATAGCGGAAATAGTGAGAAATGAAAGAAATTGAAGAAAATAATTTATTAAGTTAATTTAAATGTTTTTATATATAACTATACGTATGTGTAAAGATTTATCATGCAAACTTTGTAAGAGTAAAAACAAAAAATATCGTGTGTTGTAATCTGTAATATATTTTTTGTATATACGCGTAACATTGAGAATTTTTTATTATACTATTACACACTTGATCTTTTTTTTTTTTTTTAGCTCGCGTTAATAAACAGAGACGCATCTTAATTACAACAAAACTACCATTATTCTATGAAAAGTACATCTCTCTGGATATATATTTCTGCATGTGAAATATTTATTTATCACAACGGATCCTATACAAAATGGAATATAAAACCTTCGTACCGGGAAAATGTGCAATTTATAAAAATCAAAGATATACATAATAGGAAAACCAATTTTACGTAGTTTAATTAATAAATTGTTAATAAAATATATTTTATTCTCTGAAAGACTTTCTTTTCCATACGAAAACTATATATACATACGCGTATGTGTGAGTACAATTATCAAATGACAATACCTTGAAGATTACACAAAAAAGTAAAGCGATGATTTTGTTTAGAAGTTTATATTTTCTGAGTCATTCAACACTCTAATAAATCATATACAATATTGTTAGAAAAAATTATGTTATAAAAACAATAAATTAAAAAACAAGTACAGTATCCGTATGTTCTTGTAACATAATTTAAAATAATATTTAAATATATATCATCTTACGCTACTTAAAAAATAGTATTTTCTGTAAGTATATAAATATACTTAATAAATAATACATGTACCGCTGGATTGTACGAAAATAAAGTTTCATGTTCACTCATATATGTTATCGTTGCATCATATATGTTATATGTGTGTACATATAGTTACGTGATACGATAAAACGATACATCTCAATTAAAATTTGTCACTTTGAAAGAAAAAAAAAACAGGAGAGAAACTTATATTCAAAGAAAAGGCGGTACGAGAGTCTTATACAGGGTAGGGATGAGCATATGATATCGATATATCGACAATATGGATATAATTCTTTTGATATTTGATATTTTAGT